ATTACTTATTATATTAATGCTAACATCATTAGTCCGTCAAGCTTCACTTTCAACAGGTTATGGGCCCAGTCAATAACCAAGACATACAGTCTAGTGGATTCGTGATCGAAGTATTTTTATATTTGTATTAACGCAGAAAACTACAACCAGTCGGAGATATCCTGGATTTCGGAAAACGGCGGAACAGTGTACATAGGTAAAGTTTTGTTATAAATTGTTATACAGGTCAAGTATACGGGAAATCATCGGTCATGGAAGACACGGTGAAGATAACAAAATTATGTGCGGAAAACTGGTCGTTATGGAAGTTCCAGATGAAGGTCATTTTAAATGCCTTGGAAGTAGGTGAGATAGTTTCAGGCGAATGGACGAAACCAGGTCTACCTATAAAAAAGTCGGCAGGAGAGACCGACGAGGATGCCAAAGCACGTTGGCAAAGGCATACTAGCGCTTGGCAAAAAGCGGACGGTAAATGTCAGAAAATAATAGTTACCTCAGTGGACGATGGTCCATTACAATATTTGATTAACTGTGAGACTGCATTGGAAATGTGGGAGAAACTGCTGAGTATTTACGAGCAGAAGTCTGAGGCAAGTATACATTTGCTTCAACAACAATTTTTCAGTTATTCAAAGGAGTCGACAGATGACATGTCGACGCATATTTCTAAATTGGTCAATTTAGGAAGGAAACTGAGAGTAGCGGGTGAACCAGTTACGGATAACATGGTTATGACAAAAATACTAATGACATTACCAAAAGAATATAATCATTTTTACAGTGCTTGGGATTCAGTCCCAACGGGAAGTAAAAATATAAATAATTTAACTAGTCGGTTGTTGATTGAAGAATCACGGGTTATCCAGATCAAAGGTGAAGTTGGTGAACAAGAGAAATCGAGTGCATTTCCAGCCAAATTTCAAAACAGATCCGATGGAAAAAACGGCAGTTATGGTAAAGGTAAAAAACAATTTACTAATAAAAGTAATGTTAAATGTTATTACTGTGGTAAAATTGGTCATTATAAAAGAAACTGTAAGAATTTTCTAAGTAGTATGAAAGGTGGGAAAACCGGTACTACAGGTACAAATTTAAATGCATTTATAAGCGAGTCAAGGATAAATGAAACTACAACAGATACGTGGGTTTTAGACTCAGGCGCGTCGGATCATATGAGCGCGAACCTAGAATGGTTTACAAGTTATGAACCATTGAAATATACACAACAGGTAACAATAGGTGACGGAACAAATCTATATGCAACAGGAAAAGGTAATATTAATATATTATCATACGTGAACGGTAATTGGAATAAAAATTACTTGGCAAATGTATTGCACGTGCCGGGATTAAAATTTAATTTATTCTCGTGCGGGTCAGCGTTAGACAAAGGTTTAGAACTAACGTCAGACAATAAAACGTGTGTGTTCAAAAGAAACGGGATTCCTGTATGCATAGGCACAAGATGCGGTAGGTTGTTTGAATTACAGATCAAAGTTGAAGCACCATCGAAAGCTGAATGTTATGCGAACATTGCAGTAGAAAAACGATTAGAAGTATGGCATAAGCGTTTAGCGCACCAGAATATTCAATACGTGAGGAATTGTTTGGCAAAACATAATATTGATTATTCAGCCAAGGACGATCAATTTGTATGCAGCGACTGCATAATCGGGAAACAAAACCGTCAATCGTTCAGTAAAAGTGAGACCGAATATTTTAACGTCGGCGATTTAATACATGCAGATTTATGTGGACCGATGCAGAGGGACTCTATCGGTATGTCAAAATATTTTTTACTATTTAGAGATGACTATTCACATTACAGAACAGTATATTTTATTAAGAATAAATATGAAGTAAAAAATATTATGGAAACATTTATAAAAAGTGTTAAAACAGAAACAGGATCTAAAGTCAAAATATTAAGGACAGATAATGGGTTAGAATTTGTAAACAAGGATATTACAGGTATTCTACAGAAATATGGCATACGACACCAAACTACGGTAGCATATACGCCGGAACAGAACGGGAAAGTCGAGCGTGATAACGGAACAATCGTAGAAGCTGCCAGGACAATGATATGTGCGAAAAATCTTGACGTGTCATTATGGGCAGAAGCTGTGAACACAGCGGTTTATTCACTTAATCTAACCGGAACGAGTTCACAGATTGGTAAGCCACCTTACGAGTTATATTATAAAGTCGTGCCAGATATTAAACATTTACGAGTTTTTGGTACTGCGGTATATACACACATACCAAAGCAAAAACGTCAGAAATGGGATCCAAAAAGTGAAAAAGGAATATTTGTTGGATATTCGAACAGCACGAAAGGTTATCGTGTATGGTATTCGAAAACAAATAAAATATCCGTGTGCAGAGACATTATATTCGAAGACGAATGTAATAATTATGAAAATGTAATTGCAGACACATTAGAGTTTACAGACACTCAAATTAATTCAACGGGCGTGCGTGAGAAGGACGAAAATATAGTCGATGATAGAAATGTTATGGTTCTACGTGACAGGAATACACTTAAGAAGCCGGACAGGTATAATGTTCAGACTTTTATTGCTAACTGTGTCAGTCCATTGAATTATGATGAGGCAATTACTGGGTCAAACAAAAATGAATGGAATAATGCTATGAACGACGAAATTAATTCATTACACGAAAATCAGACTTGGACTCTAGTCGATTTGCCACAGGATAAAGTTGCATTACGAAATGCATGGGTGTTCAAAACCAAATATAAAATTGACGGTAGTATAGATAAATTTAAGGCCAGATTGGTCATTAAGGGTTGTTCACAGAAATATGGTATAGATTACCATGAAACATTTTCGCCAGTGGTCAGATACGAATCAATAAGGGCGATATTCGCAGTAGCAGCTGTGGAAAAATTAATACTACGACAATTCGACATCAAGACAGCATTTCTGTACGGGGAACTACAGGAAGAAATATACATGGTACAACCACCAGGTTACGAAGATGGCTCAAATCAAGTATGTAAGCTTCAGCGAAGTTTGTATGGCTTAAAACAAAGTCCAAGATGTTGGAATATACGCTTTAAGAACTTTTTGAATGCATTTGGTTTACAATGTACCGAAGCGGATGCATGTGTATTCAAAGCTGATAACAGCCAAATTATTCTTGCAATATTTGTTGACGATGGTTTAATCGCGGCAGATAATGAAGAGATAATAGAGAAACTTTTAACGAACTTGGAGAAAGAGTTTGAGGTTAAAAAGGGAAACTTAGAATATTTTCTAGGTATGCAGGTAAACTTAATGAAAAATGGTTCATTATTTGTGCATCAGACAAATTATGCATGTAGCATAATTAATAAATTTAATATGCTGGACGCCAAGGAACTTTCAATTCCGATAGACAAATCACATACTATTGAACAAAAGGAAGAATCGGAGATATTAAGTGAAGAAATACCTTATAGGCAGGCAGTAGGTAGCTTACTGTTTTTATCGCAGGTAACGAGACCAGATATAGCATATGCAGTAAACTTTGCTAGTCGTTACTTAGCAAAACCAACTAAAGCTCATTGGAACTTGGTAAAACGGATTATACGATATGTCAAACGAACATTTAATTATGGCTTGTATTTTAATCATAATACACAATTGTCATTAGAAATATTTAGCGATTCAGATTACGCAGGTGACGTTCAGACACGACGTTCAACGTCAGGATTTCTATTTAGATACGGGTCGAGCATAATTTCATGGACATCGCAGAGACAACATTGTGTGTCATTGTCATCGACCGAGGCTGAATATATTTCGGCCAGTGAAGCTGTAAAAGGGATCATGTGGATTACGCGGTTGATAATAAGCTTATCAAAAACAGGTGATAAACAACCGGTATTATTCATTGATAATCAGAGTGCTATTCGTTTAGTTAAGAATCCGGAGTTTCATAAGAGGACTAAACACATAGACGTACGGTACCACTTCATACGGGAGAAATACGAAGAAGGACAATTCCAACTACAGTACATTGGAACAGAGGACCAGATTGCGGACATTCTAACCAAGCCTTTGGTTAAGGAACGATTCGAGAAGTTGCGGTCAGCCATAGGAGTGACTACAATTAAAGAAATTATTAATTGAGGGAGGGTGTTGAAATATACAATTAATATTAGTATTCAAACCATGTAAACACACGTGCGCGTACAATGTCGTTTTCTAATAGATACTTATGCAGTTACGATATAGCTGTGTAACACCTTTACTATCGCTTTCTATATTATATACGGATACGGGATGGCCTCGATTGTTCATATAAATAGGGCCTTTGATGTATGTAATATTCACTTGCACAGACGCTGTCATACCGAGTGTACGCGGTGTGTGTGTATAGTCACAGTTTAATTGTCCAGTTGTACGTTATTATATATTATACTTATACATAATCATATTGTCGTGTTATTACTTATTATATTAATGCTAACATCATTAGTCCGTCAAGCTTCACTTTCAACAGTAAGTACTAAGTATACTATTCTTATAATGACATAATAATAATTAACTTTTTAGTGTAAAATAATTTAGTATTATAATTGTATAATAAAAGTTATTTTAAATTGAAATTTAAAAAAATAATTTGCTCAACCCTTTTACTTTATAATCTGTTTCGTTTTTCAGTTAAAACTTGTCCACCTTTGGAAAACACACGTTCACTCGGAACAGATGTACCTTGTATACAAAAACGCCGCTTCATTATTTCAAACAAAGTAGGGTAAATATTTTTGTTTTCATTCCAACATTTTAATGGATCGTTTGATCTTGCAATCAAAGGTTCTTGAAGATACTTATCTACTTCGATAATCATCAACGCTTTTGGATCCTGAGACTGAACTATATCAGTAACTTCCAAATCAAAGTCGGAACAAATTGAATCTTCTTTATTACTCGCTGTCGGTGGTATCGGGTAAGTTGTCAAGTTACGTTGCTGTACATTTTTTTCACTAATTATAATTTTTCCTTTGTATGATTTTTGAATCCATATTTTTTTAACCGGTGATCCAAAAATGTTGCCTCAGCTAACAGCATATCTTTTTCTAACTGACCAAATCTCTTATTTGTTTCGTCAGTTAATTTATGTATAAAGCTGTCTATGCATGGAATTGTCTGATGTTGGGTCATTAGTTTGTTACAAAAGTTAATTAAAGCCTGGGTAAATAAAATAGTTTTAGATATTGTTACACCTTTTTCACTACTCATTTCAATAGTTATTTCTTCAAATCGTTTCAGAATATCGCAAGATTTACTTATTATCTGCCAATCATCTGAAGTTAAACTGACATCATAATTAAGATCTGCTAAGGAAGAAAATATTGGAGTTTTTAATTCAAAAAACCGTTGGAACATATGAAACGTAGAATTCCAACGGGTGACTACATCTTGTATTAGTGTATGGACTGGAGAGTAACCTAATTGTTCCTGCATTTGGTTCAATTTTTCAGTGGCGAGTGTACTTCTTTTAAAGTACTCGACAATGCTTTTAACTTTAACTCTAGTTTCTTTGATTTGGTCCAGAGAAGATTGAACAATAAGATTAAGGCTATGGGCAAAGCATGAAACATGTCTCCACTGACATAAGCAAATCGCTGAAGTTATGTTTGAAGCATTGTCAGTAGTACAAGCTGCTATTTTATTTTGCAAACCCCATTGCCTTACAATATTTTGAAGACAGTCTTTAATATTTTCACTTGTGTGTCGCATTGGAAATTTTGCACATGAAAGTAAATATGATTTTAATTCACAGTTTTGATCTATGAAGTGTACAGTAATTGCCGTATAACTCTCATTTTTAAGTGATGTCCACGCATCTGTAGTTAAGGCAACATACTGTGCATTAACTTCAATATCTGATTGGACTTTTTTGTATATTTCATTATAAAGAACAGGCAATAATGATGTTGAAAGGGTTTTCCTAGAGGGAAGGGAATAACCAGGGTTCAACATATTTACCAGCTTTATAAATTCAACATCTTCAACGATAATAAAGTTGTAATATTCTTTTACTATCATTTTAATTACCTGTTGGTCAATTAATTGCCTTTTTTATGCAGTTACTGGTTTGCTGAAATAATTAGAAATTTGACATTGCTGTGGACGAATTGATGATTACTGCTGACGATGAAGAAGAGGAGACCTATCTCTATTAGATTTTGAAGTTGATACGACACCAGAATTAGAAGATATTGATGCTGATAGATTGCCATTGTTACTAGAAGGATCATCTTTGTTATTTTCTTCTACATCAAAATTAGGTCTTTAACGTTTGGACAAATCAGTTGTTGGATGTTTAGATTTTATATGTCTTAATAAATTAGTTGTCGAAGATTGATTAAATTTAAGCACTGTTTTACAAAATCCACACTTAGCTTTATCACTTTTAATTACTGTGAAATAATCCCAAATCACACTGGTCTTACGATTCATTTTTATAAAAAAAAGAATGTAATTAAAACACCGGTAATTTTAATTTAATACACAAACGTATTTAAAAAATATGAATTGACAAGACACTGTACAAACTTCAGTGGTCACTGGTGTGTTGTGAATGTGGTAATTCAATGACAAGGTTCATTCCCGGTATTTTTGGAATAATACTGGCCTCATCCTGGTGCGTTTCTTGGACACATAAAACGTCGCAACTCTGTGACTTACAAAGTGAAGCAAGAAGGTCACCTTTAGTCACAGAAAAGCCTTCGATATTTTGTGTTATCACATTAATTGCAGGTGGGGGTTGCCCTAAAAAGGGCCTTTTCAATTTTGAATGCAAAAACATTCCGGCACCGGTATTGGTAAGATTAGTTCGCGATATTTTATCTTGGTATGGAGTCATATATAGCGATGGAGGGGACGCCACGTGCAGGCTCTTACCATGTCTCCCACTACATTTCTGATTTTCTACTTATTTTTGTCCTGTGCTCCTGATATATAATAACGCGACACTACATTGTGCGGGTAAATTTTATATTACGTTTATACAATTATTTATTAATATTCATATTTCATAGCACAAAAATACTTATACTCGTTTAATATTATGATATCTACTCGGATGTACAACTTACGCACCAGTGGCGTAGTGTGTGTATGTGCAACAACTTTTTCAGTAAGTATCTTATAATAGTATAACATTTTGTTGATTATCTTCATAGTCGATTGATTTTTATTTTTTATCAACTATATTAGTAGGCGATAGACGACCATACGGGTACAGATGTATATACTTTATCGATAATATCAATAACAAAATATAGAACGCTCGTAGACCTTCGCGGTCGTGTACTAGTGTACTCGTCACTCGTATCTATCGTTTATTGTACACCGATCACGGTTTGAAATCTACGTGAAATTAAAATCACGTAGATAAATTTCATAATAAATTTCATTTGGCCTGTCACTTCAACATCTTTTTTTTTGTTAAATACTTGTAATGTTATAAAAAAATTTCCCATACATTTTAAATGTGAAATCTGGGCATCAGTATTTTTAAAAGGTCTGTTAAAACTTTTTAGGCCAGGTCTTCTAGATGAATTAATTATATCGAAAAATTTTGTCGGATACTCGGGTATCACTATCAGGTGAGTCACCAGCTTATGATATGTTTCAAATATTTTTAGTCAGTTGAAATGGTCACATTGATTCTGGCGGAGATTTTATCAGGCCATTTTTTGTTTACATCTAAGTGCAAAATGTTTTTTTTTAATCTGTGCTTGTACCGACAACGGCCGGTTTCCTCCCCATTATTTGTACAAACTAATAGAAATATACATACGTGATAACAAGAAACTCAGACGAACCGTATTATACTTTGCAATGTATTATATTTACATTTAATACTATATTTTTTTTAAATTTAAAAGTTATTTAGTAAAATAATCTTCTATACTATATATTTTAAAACATTTTAATAATGAAACATTGTACATTCCTTTTTAAAACGTTTTTAAAACTATTAAATATGTTAACTTATAAATTATAAATACATTATTTTATATCATGTAAAATAAAAATTCACAGTTTACCATTAACGTTTCTTTAACACCTATTTATTTCTTCTTTAAATCATCATAGAACTCCCAATTGTTAGTATCCCATCTGGAATAAGTATTGTATTGTCGAATTGAATTCCTTAAGCTTGATTTGCCTTTATGGTAGCATATTACACTACGTAGTTCATATGTAATTAACTTATGTATGATAACAGTGGGGATATCACATAATTTAATTTTCACAATTGTACCATCCTTACTGCTCTTTTGGTTATCATCACCTTAATATTAAACAGTATGATTATCCTAACTAATATTATAATAGAAAATAATACTAAAACTAATTTAAATCCCAAGTATAAAATATCAATAAATAAATATATTTTTGATAAAGTAGTTGTTATTGTTTTCAAGCCTTTGCAATTATCTCCATAGTTTAGATATTCAGTTAGTGTTCTTGTATTAATAAGACTGAAGTTCTTTTATGTTATCTTCATCATTAACTTGAAATGTTGTAAACTTCAAAATACTATCCTCTTGAGTATCGCATGCGACTATACAACATTTTTTTATTTCTATACCTGACGGGGCATCCATTATTAATTTATTTTTTGCATGGCCAATGGCAGATTCACACAAAACCAATGAATTTCCACATTCCAACATTTTAATTAAAGGACTTATGTGATTTATAATTAGTTCAGCTCTTTGAGAGTAACTTTTAGATGTTATGCCACTTTCTACAATATTGGAAATAAATGAAAAAAAATCCAATGTTTTAAATTTATTTAAGTTCTTATCTATCACAGTAAGCTACCTACCTGTAACATTAAAAATACAATTATAATGTTTAATAGTCTTTTATAAAATTGTTACAATAATTTCATAACATAGTGGTTGATATTCATTTCTCTTATTATCTATTATGTTTAACAATTATGGGAGCACTTGCATTTCATACATTGTCATTGGTGAATAATAATAATAAAAATAATATTTTACTAACGGAATAAAATTCCAATTTACAATATTATCCTAATGACAGTACATGCGTGAGTTATAATAAAATAAAAATAAAATTTATACAAATAATAGAAAAAAAATAATATATATAATCTATACTTAATAGAAATTAAAAATTTGATAATTTATTAAACAATAATTGTCCATTTTTAAAAAAGATCGTTTTCATTTCTGACCGATTGTAGAAGAGTGACAACTTTTAGTGAATCAATGTGATTGGTCGTGAATGTTTCAAGGTCAGCTGGCAAAGGGATATTTTTAAAAGTTACAGCTTTGAGTTTTTTGAAACTTTACTCTATTTCAGCTGAGCTCGATATATCATCACCATAGTCAAATATTGGCACCATTACACCTGACCATAAAGGTAACAGTTTCATGATGTTTATCAAAGTGGGTACTAACGTTGGAATAAATAAAAGATTTATCCAGTGCTGTAGTCCTAAAAAAGGCAGAGGGTATACTATGAGTTGTAACATTAAACATTTATACTATCATTAGGTATCCCATCTTAAAGCAGCTAAAACGCATAATCGTCCAACCGAATACCATGGTAGAGGGTAAATAACACACATTAATTGTACAGTTAAAAATTAAAACTAAACATTTATTTTTCTAAATAAATGTATTGAAAAATATCCCATAACTGTTGTCTGGATTCCGATTTTGTTAAATTATTTCTTTTCAATCTTGATTGGTTGTCATCAGCTGAGCGATGGCCTTCTAGCCACGACCTCACGTACATTTCTGGGTTGAATACCACTTCAATAGGTGGTCCGTTACTTTTAATCAACATTACACTTGATACTTTTGAAATTAAAAGTGATGCCCTCAAATTTGTAATAAAATTTATTTATCTTTTTATTTTTCACCTCATTTCTTATCTCGTCCATCGTTTCTTGGTAGCAATCTTCGACGTAGGTTTTTCTTAGCGTAGATACGGAAGGAAAGTCCTTATCCACATATTTTTCTAGAAACGATCGAAAATGTGTGTTGCTTAGTTTTTCCAATGGAATATTTGATTTTAACAATGCTTTGCATAAATCTTTGTTAAAATCAGATTTTCGTGATGATGGTGTCGTAATAAGCGGTTGCGTTAAACTATTTTTTTTAGCTTTGCGATTAACAGCTCGAGCATGTTTCTCAGTTTTTATATGCTAAGTTACGCAAAAACGTTTGTCACTGTTCACCTTTATTTCGCACATTTTACAAAATAAACACCTAAATCGGATGCAAATATATTTTCACCAAACTCGGCCACATAACTACAAATTCGATTCGTTCCGACTTTTGGCATTTTAAAATTAATGGAAACCGATGTAAAACAAAAACAACACTATAGGACGATCGCACACGACTAAACCTTGTGCTTGGACTCTCACTATACATTCTTGTATCGTGCTATTACGATAATCGCGACAGTCATCAAACGATCAAACCATTTTATTAATACTTGATATTCTAGAATATAACAATAGGGGACGACGTATACTGGCTATACTATGATAGTATATGCATGATATGGACCGTACCCTTACGCTGCCATTTTATTTTTGTTTGATAACAATATGGGCTATGTACAATAACCTTGTATATTAAACCATGAATGACTCATTCGCTGCACCAAATCAATTATATCGCCATCGTCAAAAATGTCAAACATTATAAAAAAAAAAAAAAAAAATATATATATATAATGTTGTTTATTATTATAAATAAATATATTGTAAAGCAGGAATATCAAAAAAATAGTTATTTATTTAGGATATTATACTTCTATAAATTTTTTTTATACTTGAACTTTCTCTGTAAAAAATTTGTTTTGTGCCAGAGAACTTCGATAAAATTATTGGCGTCTGTGGCGGTCTGTAATTCATTGACTCAATCATATGCTGTTGATGTATAACTCCGAAAATCTCGTCTGTTGTGTATAATGAGTCTCTTTTTTTTCGGGGCAAAATTTCCAGCAGATTTTGTAAATTTTTTTTATAAGTTTCAATTTCTATGATGTATTTTTTATCTATATTATTGTACGTAATGTCTTTAAAATGTGTTTCCAGAAGGCTATTGATAAAATTGTGTATAATTTTGAATTTTCTGTGGAATCTGTTGAATATATTGATGTTATTATTGCTATTGGTTTGATTGTTTTTATTTACTTTTGTATTCATGGAGGTTGGTAGCTGAAACAAATACACAATGAAGAAGATAATTTGAAGTTGTGAATTATTGCCGGTATTAGAATAAAAGAAATAAAGTTCCATTGTAAAATACGGCCGTTATACAATATTTATCGCGGCTGATATTCATAATTTCATGGATATATAAATTTTAATTTTTTTTTGTATTTATATGATTTATTATATTTTCCATACAAAGATTGTATATGGTGTAGCTGTGGTAAGATTCAATCGTTAAATATTTATTGTTAACCAATTCTCCTAATTCTTTTTTTAATGATTGTTTGTCTATGAAATTATATTTTAGTACACACATAACAATCCTAATGTGCCCACAAATATTTGATAACTGTAAAAAAAAAATTTTATTATAAATTTTAAATAATTATATGTATGAATTTTAAATATTTTTTAAGGGCATACTGTGCGTTTTTTTCCATTGTCAGTAGACAGGCCAAACCAACACATCATTGCAGTTTGTTGATGGCTGGGATGGATATTTCAACTACAGATTCTTCATCAATCAAAATATGATGCGTGTTTGTGGATGAATAGCTTCTATTTATTTTTAAATTCATATGTTACATATTTATTTCAATTATGTAGGTGATGTTGGAATAGTCAATAAATAGCTAAAGCCCAGATAGCTGAGATCCCCCCGAATGCAACCATACCACTTGCAGAGTTCTAAGTGCAAAATTCGAATTACATCAATATTTTTATACAGATGTACGTAAAATTACGTAAAAAAAATTTAATCATTAAGTGAAATTTTAGCCCCTCGTGACCTACGTTTTTTCTCAACTAATCTTATAGAACATGACCCGGGGAGCATTTTTGGTCCTCAGGTAGGGTGTCGAGAAGTCGTTACTTACGGCGAAAAAAATTTTTTTTTGACTCATATGTTCTGAACTTGGGGGGGGGGGGGGTATCGAGCACGAATAATTAATTTCCCCTGAAATTTGAAAGCGGCAAACTCTTCAGCGTATCGTGCTCTATAGAATTCAAGTGTTAAATTTCAACATATCACAAAGTAAACGACCCTTGTATTCCGGGGGTGTGTAGGAAAAGAGCAGAACCGTATTGTAATATCATGACTCTAAGTCAAAACCCTGGTTTTATACGATTTATTTGAACTTGGCCATATCTGGCTTGTCGCAATCTCTCTTCAATAAACCTAGCAATCACCTGGTTGTTTGCAATCACTTAGCAATCACCTGGTTGTGCACTGTATGCACTGAGCTGACGGCTGGAGTCTGGCCGATCGCGGTGTGCTCTTATTTGGTACAGACTACAGGTACCAACCGGCTATGTCTACCGGTTGATTGCAGCTAGATCGGCCAGACTTCAGCCGTCAGCTCACTGTGTACAGGGTTTTTATTTTTTTGTACATGCAAATGAAGGAGAAGGTAGCTGGAGACGTATGTTATCGATGCAGAAGGTGTGAAATCGGTCGACCTATTATTCGATTTTAAATCGATTTATTAAATGATATTTGCATGTCTACCGGGTGATTTCAGCTAGATCGGCCAGACTTCAGCCGAATAATATTATTCATAAGGCTAAATCTTCTTTCGCACTCAGCTGTCGAACATGGTAATGATGTGATTGTATTTAAAATGGGTTTAAAATTATCTGGTATCAGTTAATTATTTCTTATAAAGGCTCTTAATCCTTGAACAGCTTGTATTTCATCAACATCAAAACGCATACAAATTCTTCGTAATTATAATTATCCATCTAATACTTCCACTTCTTTCAGTATTCATGTTAATTAGATCTAGTGCTGAAATATCACTAAGTAATTGATAGTTCTCATCCTCTGACCTCGAACATAATCGAGTCGTCATTCTATCAACTATACTTTGAATAATTGATTTTAATTATAGCAACATTTTTTTTATTTGGAACAAGTTCAATCTCATTAAATAATAGTTTTGATTTAGCAATTAATGCTATTTGTGTATATTCTCCTGATTATTGTTTAAAATATTCAATTATTCTAATTGTTCTTTTTATTGACTGTTCAGCTTTTGGTAGCGTAATTGTTCGAGACTGTAATTCATTCGATAACATTGAAAGTTCTTGAAGTACATCATACATAATACCTAGATCTAAAATAAATTCTGGACTTTCAAGTCTTTTTTTCAAACCAATAAATACTGCAATTATATTTTTATCATTACTTTGGTCATCACAAGAATTTTTGAAATGAGAATGTAGGGCAGCAAATGACTTTCAAACTGCTCTTACTGTCCTTAAACTACTGGATACCCATTGAGTACTATGTACACGACCTATTTTATTAAACTGCAGTTTTAGATCTTGGCAACAACTTTCCAGAGCACGAGAATGTTTTGGCGATTGATTGTACAAACTATATATAATTTATCTATAATTCATTTAAAATGGTCAATTCCTGGTACGTCTTTTATTGTATCGGATACTGATAGATCAAGCCTATGATTAAAGCTATGCCAAGTAAAGAGTTTTGGATGTTTCTCAAGTAATCGAGTTACTACACCCGATTTTTTTCCAACCATAACACTAGCTCCATCTGTAGCTATGGCCACCCAATTTTTTTGTAAGTATTTTTCATGTAAACCATTTGATCATAATGTATTTAAAAGTTGTTTTTCTATTTGTTCAGCATCTTGTGATTGTAATTCACATAAAACCAAGAATACATATTCGGGATTATTTCCACCTAAATAAGTTTTTAAATAAACTAACAGAGTAGTTTTATTACTTAAGCTAGTAGATTCGTCAATAAGAATACTTAATTTTGAGTTTAATGTGATAATCCTAGATATTAATTGTTTTCTCATTATATTCGATAAGTGATATATTATATTTGTTGCGGAATATCTAGAATGAAGTATTTTACCTAAATTTACACTATTTCTTGTAATTTAATTAAATCATCGTGATCAGAAAATGGTCTATTTTGTATTGCAATATAATATGCTGTTCTAAATACCTTAATGTATTGTTGTCTGTTCCTGATCGACCATACTTTTTTGCATAGACACTTCGATAGAGTTTTCTTTTCCTTCTTTATTTATATTTATATTTATGACGGCTGGACATTTTATTTTTATCTTAAATCAGAAATTACAGTTAATTAATGTTATTATTCAATGTTATTTGGTTGTTGTATTATTTAATATACGGTACGTACATTATATATATATATATATATATATATATATATATAAACTATGTTTTATTCAAATTATCTATCTTAACATTATTAGTTTTTCTATCAAAAATATTAATAATAATCTAATGACTTTTATTTTTATATTATTTGGTAATTTCACTACAACAGAGAGTACACGACCTTAATCAGAAGGTATAAGGAGTTTATTAGAAATAACCAGAAAGTATACGGCGTATACCACCGTATACTCTCCACTACAGCACTGGATTTATCCCTGATCCTTCCTGGACTAAACTTTTACTATTGGTATATATATTATCCGCCCAAGATCTAAAAGGATTTTCAAAATTATTATGTCCTTCATTTTGAATTCCATACATTTCTTCTATTAAATTTCGAGCGTCATCTCAAATAAATTGATTTTGTCTTTTCAATACCAAATTTATGAAATGGTTGTACAATTGAACCGGTTGCATCAATTATGAGTTTCTGTACTATTATGATATCCTCTATATAAATGTATTTGTTCTGCACAATGGTAATGTATAAAAAAAATGGGTCACATCCCACATCATGTATAACATTTCGAAATTCATTTTCCCTTTTCATTATCATCAAAGATATTAAGACATCTTTATGTCTCCGATTATTGGCTAGTTTTTGACGAAATCGATTTTGGTTTTTGGTGTACCTAGCTCTAAAACGAATTATTGGTACGGGGGCTAAGGGTTATACGGGGCAATGTGTTATAATAGCAGTTACTTTTTGTACAATGTTGGTAACACTGTAATTTTTCACCCAAATTATCGGCTTCTATTCTGGTCACAGATATATAATACTAGATAGACAACTTGGAAATGTTTTTGAAGCCAACAAAATGTCCTAAATTCTCTTATCCTAGCCTATTATAGCCTATTGTTATCAATTTGTCATAATATGATTAATATTATAAATTAAGAGTTTAAACTTTAAGTTGGATAGGTAGTTCATGATGTTAATATGTTAATAACTTTACTTACTTACATAAGTCTTAAATACATATTATCAACTTTTAGCTTATTCAACAGTTATGTAAATTACGTAATGGTGCATGTGAATATTACATTATTTTATAAAAATTTGTGCTATTGTAAAATATTTTTGAAATGCTATATTTAAAATCAATAAAACCAAACTTGTATCTACACTAGTACTACATAGTAAAGTTATAAATATAAAATATTTCAAGTAAATAAAACAAAACTAGTATATTAATTAATTTAATAATAATACAAATATTTAAAATAAAACTGGTACCTATAGTCTATAATACATATAATATTTTATACCTACTACTGGTTCATAAAAATTATTTGTTAATTTTTGTCTTTTACTAACAGGATTTAAAATGTCAGTTGAAAACATTTTGCCAAAAGAATGGAGTCGAATACTTAGATATTTTTTAACTAATAATGAAATTAATACCATCTAATGGGGTCTATCTAGCAAAGGAACATTATCACATTGAAGTGCATTAAAAATATTATTATCGAATGCAAATGTATTATTACATAGGTTTATTATTTTTAAATCAAGATTTTTTATATTTAATGTTTGTATTTTATTTCGATGTGTGGCTCTACATACTCCTATACACAACAATGTTTTACCCTCAATTATAAATTAATTAATCAAAATCATTCTTAACAAAACTAAATCGAATTTTACTAATATAATTTACCATGAGTTTAATTATTGAACTTTTGGTCAAAACTTATGATCTACAAATTGTATTATACGATATGTTTAAAGTTAATACAAGTAAGTTCCATACTTTGTATGGTTATAAATACAAGATCATAAAATAATCGTAATTTAATTGTACCATTTAATGGCATTTGTTTTGGAACTCAACGTATAATAATTAGAAGAGGCTTGTTATAACATAAATATAACATTAATTTAACCAATTTTTATAATTTCACCAAGTATAATGTATATATTAAGCCATTACCAAAACGTTCAGCCACATCTCGTAAACATGATTTTTTGGCAGAAAACCTATAAAATATAATATTTTTTCAGTTTTGTTTGACTGTAAAATAAAAAATAAATCTTTTTATTACCATATATACCTATGAAATAATATAATTTTCTGAAGTTTGACGAGGTTCATACATATGCTGTTGTGGGAAAAAAGTAGAATCTTCAAATGTTTTTATTATGTAATATGCTGTAGTTCTTTCTATTCTAAAGCTGGCTTTAAACTAAAAATAACATATATTAGGTATCCAATATTTTGGATATACCTATATTACCTTAAAATAACATTTATATTATACAATATAAATCATATTTTTTTTTGCACATTCAAATTATAATTCAAAATAATAAATATAAAAATGTGTAATGAGAATTGATGTAGATACCTGTTTATCTGAGTATGAGTGAACAACATTTAGAATAAAATTATAAATTTTAGGTCCTATAACAGGCTCTTTAATAATGTTATAAATCAATTCATCATCATCGCTTTCGCTGGACGATAAATAACTAATCAAAGTTAAAATCTGTTGTTTGTTCATTATACCTGGGAACGGGAACTTATATACTCTAAAAGTCTAAAACTCGTAAAACTCTATCTAGGTCCAAAAATTCAAAATCTTTACAAATTTAAAATCATAAAATTTGTTATATCTGTATTATCAGACATTTATCACACGGTATCAGTTTTATCAGAAAAATGATAAAGCCCACCGTCGACTTGAGCTCGTGCAACTATCAATGCACTCGGTGCAAAACACTGCCCGAGTGTATTGAGGTGAAACATAAAAAATGTCTTCCAGTGCGCACCAGTGTTCCAGGTGGAACATGCATAATGTGCACCAGTGCAACCTTGGTGCAACAGTGCAGTGTGGTGGAAAACGCTATTAGATAGAGGAATCACGCGGCTATCACACTGCTTATTTTCATAATATCATAATATTTTACAACGGAAAACGGTCAAAAACCAAAATCAAATATTAATTATCATATATTGTAATTAATGTTGTCATTTGTCAATCGTCGTCCGTTGATACTCGAAATTCTTTTTTGCGGTTTGATAATTGTATATTATTATAATTTGTGATGCGAAATGTTAATTGTGACTTAAGTCTCAACTGATACTTTTAAACTTTTTTTATTTTTTATTTTTTATAATAATTATACAATCTATACTTTATAGCATAATAAGTATAAGTGACAAGTGACAAACAAAAACATGATAAGCGTGATTAAGAAGTCACCCACTAGTGACTCTTTGCGTGATGGGAGATTTGGGAGGAAGGAATAGAATTTTTTTTTTTTTTTTTTAAAGAGAGAGAGAGAGGGAGTGATTATAATTATAGTAAACGATCTCTGCACCATCTCCTTTTCAGTCGACGGCGAGGATTATCGGGAAGTGTTAAGGTATTTAGATTCCTAATTAGAGGGTTGATATGGTTTGCCAGACGTGAGAAGAATCGCTTGTAATATATAACCGACTCCTCTTCAATCGTTTTGACATGTAGATCGTTGTGGAGTGTTAAATTAGAAATGTATGGTGGAGCGTTAGTGAGCTGACGTAGAGTGATATTCTGATAAGATTGAATTTTATTAAGATTCGATTTCTTTGCCGTACCCCAAAGTTGTAGACCATAAGTCCAGATTGGTTTTAGAAATGTTTTGTAAATTAGTAGTTTATTTTTTAGGCTTGAATATTTATTTTTTGATAACAAGGTTTTGAGCATACGAGAACGAGAGTTTAGTATTAGTCTTTTGGATCTGATGTGTGGATTCCAAGTCAGTCTTTTATCTAAGATAAGGCCTAAATATTTTACTGTATCGGAAGTGGGTATAGGTATGTTATCCAATGTAACTGGAGGACAGAGGCCATGTTTCAGGGTGAAGGTGGAATGTATTGACTTGGCGTGATTCAGTTTAATTCTCCACTTGGCGTACCAAGATGAAATAAGATTAAGATGAGTTTGTAAATTACCAGAGGCTATTAGGGGATTTTCGTGAATTGAAATTAAAGCTTTGTCATCAGCGTAATCAGCAACACTGGTGTTTTCAGTGACGGGTTGATCAGAGGCATAGATGTTAAACAATAATGGAGATAGAATACCACCTTGGGGTACGCCTGCATTTATCATAGCCATTTGTGAAGTACATGTTCCAATGCGAATTTGAAAGTATCGATCGGTGAGGTAGGATTTAGTTAGGAGAAACAGGGGAGGTGGAAGAAATTTGCGAAGTTTATAAAGTAAGCCATCGTGCCAAACCCGATCAAATGCCTGTGATATATCTAAAAAAACACAGGAACAATATTGTTTACGTTCCAGCGAGGTTGATATAGAATCAACCAGGCGGTGTACTTGATGAATTGTGTTGTGTTTAGCGCGAAATCCGAATTGGGATGAAGGAAGAATGTTATTTGAGATAACATGTGGGGATAGTCGATGAAGAATAAGCCTTTCGCAAATTTTTGAGAAAAATGGTAACAGGCTTATTGGTCTATATGAGTTTGGAGCATCTGGAGGTTTGTTTGGCTTTGCAAACATGACAATGTGTGAAAATTTCCACATAAGTGGGAAATATGAGAGACGAAATATTGCATTAAAAATATAAGTCAAAAGGACTATTGCCTTTTTGGGTAAACATTTTGCAACCTCTGCTGTTATAAGGTCAAAACCGGGAGCTTTTTTATTCGAGTGTTTTAAAATTATATTTTTAATCTCGTTTGGTGTGGTGTATTTCACGGGAGGTCCATTAGGTAACGGAGAGTCTAAATATTTTCTAACATTAACTATGTGTTGAGGGTCTAGAATATCAGCGTGAGGTTGAAAAATATTTGATAAATGCGTTTTGAATACTTCTGCTTTTTCTGCGTCACTAATAGCTAATGAATTGTCTGCTTTTTTAAGAGGAGTTGAGGGAGATTTGTATTTTAAAAGCTGTTTAGTTTCTCTCCAAAGGGAACCGTTTGCAACAGATAGGTTGCGCAATTTTTGCTCGAAAGCATTGGCTTTATGTTTTGTAAGGATTTTTTTCAAAGAATTGGCAAGTTTGTTATAGGCGGATTTGTGTGAAGGAAGACGAGAGAGGTGGTACCTTGCTCTGGCTCTGCGTTTTTCCACAATTAAACATCGAATTTCTTCTGGTATTAATGGGTAATTAAAATTAGAGGTTATTGTATTGTTTGAAGTAACAGTTTTGACAGGTTTTATATATAGTATAATTATATAATAGTACCGGTACACGTTGTCTATAGCAAATTATGTATTGTAATTCTTATAACTAACTTTTTAGTAATGGGTAACTGTAATTTATTTTTATTTTATTTTCAGACAACACAAGTACTTTAAGTGGACATCTCACTAGTAAACACAGTAGTGTTATGGTTTCAAAAGCAAAGTCAACGGGTACACCGAGGCAATAGTTGGAAACTTCAGATGTTGATGATCCATCTCTAACATTGTCCATATTATCAACAGATTCAACTTCAAATATGTCATTTACAGCTTCTACATCTCATAGTTCTAATATACCATCGACTAATGAAGGTCCATCGTCCAATATAGACACAGTATTCAAACGTCAAAAAACTATAAATTAGTCATTTTCACAAGTTATGTCTTATCAACATGGAGGTTTTAAAAGTGAAAAGTTAATAAATGCAATATTATATATGATTGCAAAAGATAATCAGCCGTTATCAATTGTAGAAAATAAAGGATTTATCAATTTAATGAATGTAATGAATTCTGTCACAGAATATTCACACTATAATAGGGCATTATGAAACACTATGCGCTATCTACCGGAGGCCACAAGCGCCACTCAAAGAGACACCAATTCAGTACGATATACAAAACCGGCTCGCTCAGACACCGTGCAGGAGCACCCGCTCTAAGTTTCGACACAAAAATAATACGAACCTCTTAATAATTTTTCAGCCTTTCCATTTGAAAGCTTTATGCAACTATTAAAAAAAAAATCAAGAATGTCGATAAGCCTTTGTAGCAGTTAGTACGTCGTTATGATAAAAAATGTCAATCAAATGTAGAAGAAATCAAAATATACATCTGACGTATTAAAATGCAAAAAGAATTATACTATCGACCAATGACTCAAGATGGATGTGATTTAATGAACTTTGTTCATCACAATTGTTGATATACACTATGTTTCACAGCTTAGTGATCTTCAACCATAGAAACTAACTGATAATGAAAATAAAATGATAATTTTCCTATGACCAATAGTGAAAAAATGTTAATTATTATGCTTTTATTCCATTTGCAATAATTTATTTTGTATCATATTATCAACTAGAAAAATAACAAAAGCATTTAGTTTCTTATATTCTATTTAATATATTATTTAGTATATAAATATAATACTAGCATAATAATAGCATTCTATCAATTACCTACCTATTCTATATACTCCGGCCGACGAGAGAACTCTTCTGGGCGGTGACCCAAATTCGTCCGATCTCGGGCATTCTCACCACTAAACCTTCCCGAACGCTGGCCGCCGCCATCGGTTGTGCGTATATTATGTGTATGATTTTTATTTTTAATAGAAAAATCACAGCAAGCAAAAAACTTCTCGAAGGCTTGGTCAGAATAAGAATCATCAGATGAAAAGGATAATGTTCAGATAGTATAAATAATCATTTCAATGAACTAGCTATGTTGCTAGGTTCTATAAAAAATTATTTTAGTATTATTGTATTATGTGAAACATGGCTTTTGAATGATGTTGAATTTTCTTTAAATGGTTATAAATCTATAAACTCGCTGGGAACGTTAAATAAAAGTGATGGGGTCACAATATTACTTAAAGATTCTCTAAATATTCTTCAAAATGAAAAAAATGTTATATTAAATTGTAATTCAATACGTCTTAAAATCAAATCTAATGAATTATTGTTTTCTTTAATCTGTATATATAGATCGCCCAATGATAATCTTGAAAATTTTATCAATAATCTAGACTTTTCCTTATCTCAAAATAAAAATAACTAACTAAATATATTATGTGGCGATATTAATATTGATATTATGAAAATTTCCAATGTAAGCAATGATTATTTAAATGTATTGGCTAAACATGAATATATATCATGTATAAATAATTCTACCAGAGTCACTGAATCCTCAAATACTTGCATTGATCATATATTTTTTAAAAATGTAGAATCAAATAATATTAGTTCAAACATATTACGATGTGATATAACTGATCATTATGCTACAACACTGATGTTATCTGGCGAATTGTTTAAAGTCCAAAGTAATAGTCAAAATGTAAAATATATAAAAAAAAATAAATATTGGCCTTTTAAATAAATTAATTAATTTAGAAAATTGATGTTCCACTTTGTCTTTTGATGATGTTGATTCTATGCTCGAGGTTTTTATTCTAAAATAAATGAATTTATTCATCATTCAACTATTTCTGTAATTAAATTGAAATCTAAAAAAATGTCAAAATTAAAAGAATAGATTACAACAGGTTATTCTTCTATAAGAAGTAGGGAAAAATTGTTTTCTAAATTGAAATTGAGGCCTTTTGATACACACTTAAAACAATTCTATAATAAATATACAAATATATTAAATGTATTAATAAGAAAAGCTAAACAATTATTTTATCAAGGTAAATTATTAAGAGCTCAGTCTGATGGTAAACAGGTATGGAATATTATTAATGAGGTTATAGGAAAATCAATTAATAATAAAACATGTGATATTAATAAAATAACAATGAAAAATGGTTGTAATACTGAATCAAAAATAGAAATTTGTAATACATTAAATGAATATTTTATTAATGTAGGAAACAATTTAGAAATAGAACACATAAATCATGTGTCTGATGACCATGAAATTATAAATGATACTATATTTTTTAATCCAATAAATAGTGATGAAATAATGTTACTCTTAAATAAAATAAAAGACTATAATTCTTGGTTCCCCCTCAAAATATCCCTCGTTCAAAATATCCCCGTTAAAAATATCCTACGTTGAAAATATCCCCGTTACAAATATCCTATATTCAAAATATCTCATAATATATTATTTTAATACATGGGCCAAAGGGGGGTTCGTATTAAATTACTAATAACTCGTACTTCGGTAATAATTGATATAATATTATTATAACGTCATTATTTTACAAAGGTCCACATACAATTTAAGTCCGTAGGTATGGTTATTTTTGATATAAAATATACATATAAAAGATTTTTTAAAATGAAAAATTACACGCAATGCCTTTTAAATAGTTAAGTACAGTAACATGTTCATAATTAAGAACCACTTCTTTTAATTGTTTATCCAATTTCTAAGAAATTTTCTTTTTTTTAACGGGTAGCTCACCAGACATGTATTTTTCAATTTTTGCTTCTTGAAGGCCTACATAATTGTAATATAATTGTAATAATATTACTTAAATAAAAAAAAAAAAAATAATAATTGTATATTTTATTTACCTTGCTCTAATTGGAGACACATGATAAATTTCCATATCGATGCATGATGAGCTCCTAGAGATCCATTAAAGGCATGGTGCCACCCCTCAACGGCATTGTTTGTTGTCAATAACTGATTGATAACAATTCCACAAATCAATATTAAAATGTGCTCCTCTTCGCCCTAAACGTCCAATCCACGTGTCTTCAAAATACATTATTATAGAATCTAATAGTTCTTCATTTTGTATATAATATTCTGATTCAATAAGCTCATCAAAGGCTTCGATTACTTTATTTGGTGGTATAAATGACAATGAACAAAGAAGTCGAACTTGTAATGCAAATTCAGAATCTTGACCATATTATTTTATCTGTAGGCCACTATTTTGTATTTTCCTCCAAACACACTGAGTAAAATGAAAAAAGCAACCTCTAATAACCGCCGTTGGAAATTCTTCTTTAAAAGTTGATATAAAAGCATTTTCAAAGTCAACCATTAACATAGATGGCTTCAGATTTGGTTTCTTAGTTTTTAAAAATTTAAAAATTTCTGAATACGTTTCTTTTGTTCGGTCAGTCATTAAAATATAAACTAAAGGATATGTAGCATTTTTTTTTACAAGCATGAATTATATAAAGTTGAGAAAACAAGGGTGGAACAGATTTAAAAGTTCCATCAGCCATCTAAACATCTGATTCACTTAAAAAATCTAAATTGTTTTCTGTAGTAAATATTAAACTACGTTTTCCTTCTTTGTTAATATCGTGTAACAAAAATGGAACCCCCGTTTTGGTTACCTTATATTGGTCTGGTAATATTAAATCAGTTATGTTGATTGGATTTGTAAATAAATTTCATTATATTTATTTCTTGTTCTACGTACAGTCTGAGATAACATATCAATTGGTGGTAATTTACTTGTAGTTATTTTAGATACATCTGAAACTATTTTACTGACAACATTTCTTGTAGGTTCGCATGACGTTTTAGCTTCATTTTTTAACTTATCAATTGCTTCTTTAACATTAACTTTATCAGCATTTGGAGGGTGACTATGTGTGGGTATTTTTATAATTTCTTCTAAAAACAAGTAAAAAAAAATTTAATTGACTGAAAAAATCAAATGCATTTTTGACACCAAAAGTATTAATCTGTTTTGACGTACCTGATTCTTCGTCATTAGTTGTATGACAGCATCCTTTACATTTGTATTTTATAAATTCAACACAGCGCCAAATACATTTATTTTCAGTCGATCGGTGTAAGCTATGCAAATATCCGTCGTATGAAAGTAGCTTTTTGCCTTTTTGGCTATTTACAAAAAATTTAATTTGACATTTTTCGTTTTTGTTTTCACGGATATAAAATGGTAACCACGCTCACAAGTGTAATGCCGATACATTATCGAAAATTTCGATGGTTTGTATTTGTCAACTTATTTTATCATTTTTATTATTTCAACAAAATACAGGTATTCCTATTGCAAGTTCTAATAGTATCTGATTACGCGGCTTAATATAAAGATATCGAAAATGAGATAATCATAAATGACCATTATATTGAATTCTACGTATACCTATATATTATAATATATTATACTATGATTTACAAATAATATGTATGTTAGTATAACTATAACCTAATTGATGAGAAGTTAGAAAAGTTTAAAGTTTAAAAATCTTTTTTTATGTATATTGTTATAAATTAAGGGACAATATTACTGAAGATATTTTGAATATCTAGAATATTTAGATAATTTGTAACGGGGATATTTTGAGCGGGGGATATTTTGAACGAGGAATATTTTGATGCATGGGATATTTTGAGGGTGCACCAAGCTTTTGATAGTGTGAATCATAAGCTACTGATGTTCAAATTAGAAAACGCAGGTATTCGTGGCTTACCATATAATTTAATTAAATCCTTCTTAGGAGACAGAACTCAAAGAGTTAAACTAAATGATACACATAGTGATATTCTAGAAGTATCTTGTGGTGTACCACAAGGCACAGTCCTATGTCCCTTATTATTTATAATTTTTATAAATGATCTTCTTAAAATCAATACTAATTTAAATACTGAAATTCTAAGCTATGCTAATGATACTGCTATTTTGTTATCTGAACGAACAACAGATAGTCTGTATTATGAAGCAAATATAATCCTAAATAATATTTATACCTGGTTTTGCAAAAATAAATTAAAACTTAATTTGTTGAAATCCAAATACATTTTGTTTAATCCACAAAAGTACAATACTTCGAATACTAACGATTTAATAGTCCATTCACTAAAATGTTTCTCAGCTTTTAGCAATACTTGTAAGTCGAAATGTGTTATTCTTGAAAATGTTAAGGAGCTAAAATACCTTGGCCTTATTCTAGATTATAGATTTAAATGGGATAGTCATATCAATTACTTAAACAATATTTTACGTAAGTTCTTTTTCATATTTAAAGAAGTCAAATATATTTTTAATAACTCATACAAAAGAATTATTTATTTATCCTTGGTGAAATCAGTTTTTACTTATGGTTTATCAATATGGGGAGGAACTTACAACAATCATCTATCTAGATTATTAACAACTATAAACTGCATTATTAAATATCTTCTAAATCTATCATTTCAAACAAGTACTACATTAATTTATAAAGAACTAAAAGTCAAGGATTTTAGGTATATTTTTAATTTTAATACACTAATTGTACTTTATAAAAATAAAAATTTAATTATCCCTATTGATCATGATCATTATACAAGATATAAACATAATATTAATATATGCCTACCTAACTATAGTAAAGTTTTTGGTCAAATGGTCTAAATAACGGTCTAAAACTATGTCAAACCTTAAATATTAACATTAGCCTTTTTGATAATTTGTAGTCGTTCAAAAAGTATGTTAAAAATCTTGATCTGTCTATTATATAATTAATATGTTGTTATTTGTTAATTATTTTTGTTCTCCATACTATTATATTTTACTATGTTTAAAATATTGTATAGAAAATACTTTGCTACTTCTTAATGCCAACTATCACTAATTTATTATTAATGTATTTATTTTAAGAAATATAATATAAGAAGTAAGAACCGCTCCCCCAGCACAAGCTTTGCTTTTAGGGGGTGCTGAAAATAATTATTTTACGTACTTATATAATGTGTCACTTGTTGTTTTTTGCAAAAAATAAAATATTATTATTATTATTATTAGATATCCTATCCGAAATGAGGAGAAATGTTGAAAAATTGTTCCATATCATTAGAAAAAGAGTTTTTGAAATCAAATAAAATCCAAGTAACCCAATTTGTTTCCGCACAGGAAAATCCTAGAATACGCTGGATGATGTAGCATGATGTCTAGTACGTGAATGAGGGTTGGAAAGGATCTACTACGAGATTTTGGTAATAACTGAAGTGGACTGTATTTTAGTTGTATAGTAATTAGCAGACAGCAATAATAACTTAGTGAATAAATGGGTAGGAGGGGGGACACTTAATATTATTTTATTTATATATAATTTAGGGTGGTTTTTATTTATAAGGTCAGAATATTTTTTTTTTTAATTTTCTGAAGTCAAGACCCTATAATATTATTTGATATGATATAAAAATAATTTAGGTTAAATTTGGTGATGATGACTCACCCCCTTCCCGTGCCACAAGAGGGTTGAAAATGGCTAATAGGGTAGTTTTACGGTTTTCTGTATTTTACTCTAAAACAGTTATAGTTATGATAAAATTACAAAAGAGCTTTATTAAAGAAAATACAATTTTCTATAAATAACTATATTACAACATTTTACGAAAATCTATTGTTTTCTCTGAAAACAAAAAAAAAACAAAATAATTTAATTAATAGACAAAAATATATGATTTACGGTTTTTTAAATATATTTTATGAACGGTTGAAGATATGATCAAATGTTTATTATTATATTAAAAATAATCTGAAATTACCATCATCGTTATCGAAAGTAGATAAAACTCAGATGGCGATAAAATAAAACTTAATAACAGTTATGAATTATACAGATAAACAATATAAGTTATTAAATGATATTTTATATTTTAGTTGTTGTACTGTACTTGAACGTGTCTCGTTTTTATAATTGTATAGTGATTATTTTAAGTTATAATTTATACGTTACTGTTTCAAAATGTATTTTACAAAATGCCTATAGACAACAAATGTATTTAATTGGACCCATGAATAATCAAATAACTGGTTCTAAATTGCCTTCCAAGAGGGACTGTTTGACTGTTTTATTTTATAATATGCGCTTAGTAAACCTAAATTTACATGGTAGTTCACGCTTGGTTATTGATGAATGTTCAATTTTTTGGAAGAAAGCTCGAATTCCAACACATGATGATTCAGACTGCATTAAGAAACTGAAAAAATTATACGAAGAATGGAGAAAATTAGACAAAAATAAAACACGAACAACAGAATTACAAAAAACACATGAAAACAAATTCGAAGAACAATTAGACAATTTATTTGATTTATCCCACGCCAATGCCTTAAATTTAATTAAAATAGAAGAAGATAAGAAATTTTATTAAGACAACGAGAGAAAGGTCGTCCTGGTTATATGCTTGGTACGGATATGAAATTAGCGGGTATTGAAAAACGTAAAGCAACTCTTAAAGAAAATTAAGATGGACGAAAAAAACGACGAGAAATGGAAACCTTAAAATTGACCGGTAAGTTATTAAATGTAGATATAATAGTTGTAATAGTATATATGTAATAGTTATAAATTTGTGATTATTGTCTATTTATGTATATACAATATACATACGGTATATACCTACTATATTATATACATTATACATATTATTATACATAAACGAGCAATATTGGATATAAATATATACCTAATCATATATTATGTTTATCATTGTCATAAAATTATATTATTATATTATATTTAAATTATATTAATATAAATTTACATTTATATGTAGGTACTTATATAATTGTATACGGGTCTCGAAGTTCGTGTACCTACTTGATTAGTTATCTTGTA